GGAATCACCCGGATCTCTGGGGGTAGCTCGTTCCATAGGGTGGGAGCTCCAACAGAGAAGGCCCTCCCCCTGGGGGTCGCCAGCCGGCACTGTCTGGCTGACGGCACCCTGAGGAGACCCTCTCTGTGGGAGCGTATCGGCCGATGAGAGGTAATCGGAGGCAGAAGGCGGTCTCGGAGATAACCAGGTCCGATGCCATAATAAAACTTCACTTCCATAAACAATCAACCTCAGCTTCTCTTAAAGTGTTTCTTGCGAAAACCTCAGGAGTGACAGAATGTTAAATAAATAGAACCAGGAAGAATTTACAACACGGAACCACAGCAGAACATTGCTGTTGACGGTCACATTACAGTATATAAGAGATGCAATTATAATTGTTCAGTAAGTAGAACTAATACGAAATAGACCTGGCTGTGCACAGTTGGTCTTTCTGCCATTCCTTTCTAACAGGAACCCAGAGAGATTCCTTATTTTACCTTGTCTGCCCCAACAGTCTCCTGGAGTGCTTCACCTATTTCAGCTTCATTGCTATAAGCTGTAGCACAGTCAATGTGGCGATAGCTCACACTAAGGGCATACTTTATAGCCTCCTTTACCTAGAACCGAAAAATTAAAAGAACACAATGGATTAGAATGAGAGAAAGCATATTCCTTTTTACCAAAAAGACTACTCTAATAAGTAATGATAAGACAAATAAAAGAGTTGTTTAAGATATGTTGTATAGGGATGGGACATGTACATATACCAAGAGGAAAGAAAAGAGAATGACCAAAGGGGAAAAACTGTAACTCTCACTGCATTCTCAGAAGAACTGGTGCATTCTTAGGAGATTACTATGTAAGCACAATAGTCAGAATTGCCACAGAAAACAGCCCAATCAGAAATGCGTATTATTTCTGCCTTTTGACAAAAACCTGGTATTTATTTTAACAGGTTTTCCTCATCTACAATATTGCCTTGCATCTGATTATTTCACCAGCATTCTTGCATTAATAAATAGCTATCAATTGTAAGAATGGGGAAATGGCTTTAGGAAATATCTTGTTCAAATCATGTAAAAGGAAAAGATCCCCCTTGAATTGAGTTTGGCTCCTGATGACTTCATGAATACAGGTTTTCTTGGTGACACTGGGAAAGTGATTTTTAAAACTTCCCACGGCTGGAATTTCTACATGCTCTCCCATTCAAACATCACCCCGTCCCACTCCTTAGCTTTTTCAAGATCAGCCAAAGTGAGTTGCTACTTGCTGCAGACAGGTTGAATAATAGCTAAACTGTAACCTTAATTCTGCAAATTTCCTTACCTCCAGCTTTGCCTCTGGTTTCTCATTATATTTCAGTGCTCTCTGCTACACACAGTAGTATCTTGCCTTGATTTCTACTCACTGCGCTATTGCTAGAAAGCTGAATTTAGCATATATGCTTCTGAATATAACCAGAGTTCTGAAATAATATTTAGATAGCAATAATAACAAAAAAGATTTATTAAGAAGACAGAAAACTCTTACTTTTGCCCAACCTATATCTTGAAGACAGAGAAGCATAAGAGAAATAGGAAATGCCCATTCTCTTTTAAACAGAGACTTACTTACTTACTTAACTAACTAGAGTTCATATGAAAAACAGATATAGGGCTTTATGTGTGAACACGTCTGTCTGTCATCATTTAGCCTGGTAGTCAGAACGGGTTCATAAATACAGAGTTGATGCATTCTCCAACAACTATACCAGTGATGGCGAACCTTTTAGAGACCGAGTGCCCAAACTGCAACCCAAAACCCACTTATGCATTGTCGGGTGCTGGATGGGTGTGGCCCATTAGGTGGGCGTGGCTGCGGTGGTAACGGCAGACTGGGTGGGACTAAAAAGTTCAATCAATCAATTCCAACTTTGCAAGATTTTTTTTTTCCCGCAAGAAGTTGAAATTGACTGATTGATTGAATCTTTTTTTTTTGTACACGGCGACAGAGACCTAAAGCGAAAAGGTTTTAGAAAACCCAGCTGAACTGGGACGACAGCGCCTCTGGCACCCATGCCATAGGTTCGCCACCACTGAACTATACAATACTGACTCTGGCTTCAAATTTCTTCTAGCTACAAAATATGCTAAATTACTTTGGATTGGTCATACTTCACACTTAGTCACAATTTGGTACATTTGTTCCTTTGTTCCTTTGGCTGGATGACACAGTGGCACAATTTTTTTTCCAGTATCTTTGTAGTGCTTGTGTGGTCAACCATATTCTAGTATATTAGTACATATTCTTTAGACATGCCCTTTGGGAGTTTGTTTGGTTAGATCAGGGTCATCCAGCCGTGGCAACTTTAAAACCTGCTGGCTGGGGAATTCTGGGAGTTGAAGTCCACAAGTTTTACAGTTGCCAAGGATGGACAACCCTGGGTTAGACATCACTGTTATGGTGAACCAGATTCTTGGGAGGAAGGTAAAGTTTAATGATTTCAAATGCTTGTTAAATTATATCCCAGTGAATAGAACTTGTCAATGTATGAAGAGCTCTGTATATAACAAGCTTGGACCATCACAAAAACCATGATCCTGGAAGAACCAGTGCATACTACATTCTAAAGGTTGGCTAAAGGAAACTGGTTAACTCTCAGCCTTTCAATTGGCTTTACAGTATTAAAAGAAAAATAAAATATTGGGCAATATGAATCCATATGGAGAAGGTTTTCTGTTTGTTTGTTTTTAAATCTGAGATGTACTAATATGTATTGAGATGGAGCTATTATTCTTATAGTACATACAGAAGTGTTTTTCTTTTTCTCTGTTCTTTTATTTTTATTTAATTTCTTTTTTCCCTTATATGTTATTAGTTTCTATTATCTAGATTTTTTTTTTATGTTTTGGAATTTAGGTATCTTAAAGAACGACATCTATTATATAATCCCAACAAGTTCTGGCCCCAGCCACTTTTGGAGATGCAACTTTTGGCTGCAGCTACTTGAAAAGAATCTGAGGATTACAAAATGCATCCTAGTGGGTCACCCAAAACTTCTAAGGCTGCTATTTTTACTCCTGATTTGGTATTATGGAAAAATAACCACTAAAGTAAATTGGCAATATTATATTTCAATCTTGCAGATTGAAACTGAATGTCATTATAAGGTTTATTGATTCACAACATTTGCCCAGCTTCTCAGAAGCCTAACATTAAGGAGAGCACAAGGTATCTTCTTCATAATTTCATCAGGAGATTCCATTCTCTTTTATGAAAATTGAGTATTTTGTAGAAATTTATAAAGTTTCTTGAAAATATCATGACTATTATGTTTTGATCAATAGGAACATCACTGGGAATTTCTTCTTTTGACAATCACTAGTCAAGCCTTAATTTTAGAGTAAATGTAACACTGCTTATGATTTATGCCAAAGGCAAAAGGGGCTAAGAAGGATGGAAATGTAGAACATAATGTGATCGTGGAAGAAACCTATTCCTTTCTCCCAAACTTTTAATTAACAGATAATAAAAAAATACTTTTCTATCAACACACAGAATTTAAGATCTTAAATACTTAAACTTCCCCAATTTAATAGTGAACTACTTACTTGTCCAGCATCACTCTTCCAAGTACCTAATCCAACCAAAGGCATTCTTTGTCCAGTGTGAAGCAAAACATAGTTGCATTCAAAAGGCATCTTTACCTAAACAAAGTGTCATGATATTTTATATTCTAATTGTTTAACTGCACAAAATAGAAAAACTGTAGATTGGACTGCATTTTTAATGTTGATAATGCCATTCAGTTTAACAAAATAATAATTGGATGAAGTGTTATATTACATCAACATTTTAGTTAATATTCAGTGCATTCATTTTATATTCTGTCAAGGGCAACAATTTTAAAAGAACCACAGAAAGCATAAAAATAAATAATACCTGAATAAAATGGAGAGAAACAACATATTGAAATATTATAAAATGAGAGAATAGCCTACTAAAGCAACGAATCCAATGGCTTCAGTGCCTACCTGAACAAAGACACTTTGTTCTCAAAAACAAGGCCAAGAGAATAGTAAATGCAAAAATGCCTTTTGTGTAGCTTGGGAAATTATGTTGGAACAGGTTGTTTATGTTGCGTAATTTCAATGTGAATGGTTTTTTGTTTATATGCACGCAGACACTTTTTATTGTTTAGAACCAGATTCTATTACTTTTTTAAGCCTACAATGTGGACAAAATATTTTCAATCTAAATAGGGCTATATTTTAGATTGGGTGGCCAACACCTTTGCCTTGCCTTGCCATTTTCACAGCACAATAGGAAACATTAAAAACTATTGTTCATTGACTAACCAGTGAATAAGCATTTGACAGATTCCTGAATTTTCAAATTGCCAAATGCAAAAATTGTGTTGCTTTGTTTGGTTCTGGAGCTATGCAGAAAAATGGCCAAATATAATTTTGTTTGTTTTGAACAGGGATATTTCGTTTCAAACTAAGAATTTAAGATTTTTTTTGTGCATGCTTCTAGATTCAAGGTAATTTGTAGACGGGCAGTCTATAGGTTAATTCTTTATGCGAGTTCCTACACAACCTTGTGAACTACTCTTGGCAAAACAAATGATTATGGTTAACAGTACAGTGCTGTAATACTTCTCCACAACTAGTTCTAGGAACAAACTCTGAAAATTCTGAGGGTGCAACGTAAAAGTTTGACGCTAGAAATTAGGCTTGAAGCGATTTTATTGGAACTTGGAATAAAAGGATCTTGTTTACTCCTGCATTTACTCCCCTCACTCTTTCTTGAAATCATTTCCTTATATCTAATTTTAAATATATAAACTCCATGGGTAAAGATCTGTGAACCTTTTTTCTAAATTACCAAAAATACGGGAGTCTACAGAAATAACTCATCAGTCTCCAAAACAGAACATCTTCCCCAATTCAAACATGTGGGAACAACTATGAGTATTGCTAAAACTCTCTCTCTGTGAGGAAGCAAACAACTACAAGCATCTTTTTTCATCCCAGCCTAGTAAAGTGCATATCAGAGATGAATTCTGAGAGACTCCAAACTTCTACTTCAAAGACATTCTATGAAACCCTCCAACTGGGGAATGTGGATAAAAGCAACACTACCAAAATAAGATTTTAATGGCTGCTTGCATATGGGACAGATTGACTGAGAAACCACGCATATCGTATTTTACACTAATAAAACACACAGATCCACACATGTCAGATTGTAATAAGAAAAAGCCATCTCAAATTTCTAAAGTGCATCAGAGAGCTGAACAATTTTTTTTTAAAGAAAATAGGTATTTTGGAGATCAGATTCTAACCTATAGAGAAATATGGAACAGTCCTGAAAAAATACACATCAACCATTGATAAAACATAAGTTTAGTCTGGGAAAACAGGACTTATTAAGAAAAACTCAAAATTGTCCCACCCTTGATTATCTTTGATATAAGGAGAATAGAAGGAAAAACACTATCCGGCTTCCAAGATTGTTTTCTTTCTTTCTTTCTTTCTTTCTTTCTTTCTTTCTTTCTTTCTTTCTCTTTCTTTCTTTCTTTCTTTCTTTCTTTCTTTCTTTCTTTCTTTCTTTCCTTCCTTCCTTCCTTCCTTCTTTCTTTTTCTTATTTTTCTAATCTATCTTCTATCTCTTATCTATCTATCTATCTATCTATCTATCTATCTATCTATCTATCTATCTATCTATCTATCTATCTATCTATCTATCTATCTATCTATCTATCATTCTAATATTTTAGTATTTCTTTCAATAGACCTGGTCTGCCTTGAAGGGCTGACAAACGCTCCCTTGGATTCTTAAATCTTCTTATCAGCCCGTGCTTACAAGTTATCAATGATAGTAATCACTTTCTAATTTTTATGTTCATGCTATGAAAATATTTATCTGCTAATCAAATTGCTGTTAAGAAAAATGACAGCACATGCTGCCTATTTTCCAAGTTAGTTGGCAATTATTATACATTATCAGAACAAATAACATTTATGAAACTTCCATAAATCTAGTGTAAGAATGGACGTATTGGGCCTGTACAGTTCAGCTTTCTACAGAGAGAAAGAAAGGGAAAAGAAGGATTGGGCACAGGAGATTAAGCTCATTGTCTTACAGAGTTAGCTGCTATCCTCCCCCACCTTGAAATCTAATTTTAAGATAATATGAATATACAGTATGGACTTTGGTTAGGAAATCTGTGCAGGAACTACAGACAGGTCTGTACCTGAAGTATGCCACTTACATGATTGTATTAGTCATTTTCTGAACATAGGCGAGCCTATCCACCCAGCAATCTCATATGTGATAGAGTGACAGTGAAATCCGAATTTTATAGCAAACATTATAGAATGCCAGATATTCATTCACAAATTCTGTCCATTTCCACATCTTAAATTATAGATAAGATTATTTAACTCCTCCACCAATACCTGTTAACATGGCTAAATATTTTTGATAATCTTGAATTAATAAGTAACAAAAAAGGCTTTCCTTAAATAATGCCTTATAAAACTGCTAGGTGAACTAAGAACTTTTCTCCAGGCAAGAAATTAACACATCAAACTCAATTAAAACTTTCAGTTTTATATCAGTACATCAGATGTTACTTCTCGCTGACAGAATATTACTCATGAAAAAACATTTAATAGGCAAAGTAACTGCCAGCTTCAGTTTTTAATGCTCTTATTATTTCTGTGATGGCAAAAGATACAAGACTACAATATAAATGGCCTTCAGCATTGGATTTTAGTATTCCTTAGGTCAGTGATGGCGAACCTTTTAGAGACTGAGTGCCCCAAACCCGGCCCCACCTCCTGCCGACATGCCACCAGCCCCAGCCCCGCCCACCCACAGGACCACTCACCGCCTCCATGGCCCGCCACAGATTGCCCAGGCGGCCCAGCAGTGCATGGCGGCCACACCGTCCACCCATGCCCCACAGCATCAGCTGCGCACAACGGGGCGCGAGGGCAAAATCTTGTCCCCGCTGCCCGGCTGCCATGTCCTTGGCTGCGCTGCTCTGCGTGGGCTGCACTCGGGGGTGATTCTCCTCCGGGGGGGCTGCTGGTGAGGGGGGCATGGGGGGAGGTGGGGCTGAGGTGACGGCATGCGTGCCCACAGAGAGGGTTCGCCACCACTGCCTTAGGTCCTGGGACCATAGCACCTAAGGCGGTGGTGAACCTATGGCATGGGTGCCAGAGGCGGCACTTAAAGCCCTCTCTGTGAGCACGCGTGCCGTCGCCCCAGCCCCGCCCCCCCCCATGCCCCCCTCACCAGCAGCCCCCCTGGAGGAGAGTCACCCCCAAGTGCAGCCCACGCAGAGCAGCGCAGCCGAGGACATGGCAGCTGGGCAGCCCTTTTTGCTTCTACACATACTTAGAGATCTAGATATATTTATATGGAAGGAGCCTCGCTAAAAGCAATAAAAGTAAGTGGGTTTTGGGTTGCAGTTTAGGCACTCAGTCTCTAAAAATTCGCCATCACTGCTCTATGGTAATTGAGCGGAACCCCCTCTTAGGTAGGAATGCAGTGTTTGTAACTTAGTGCCTCAAACTCCCAATCCATTAGGTCATCATGGTCAACGGTGCCAGGTGGCATTCAAAATGCTAATAGGAACAAACAGGTACATTTCCTCAAGATACTAAAGGCCCCTGAACAGAACAAATAATGTCCTACCTGTTCTATGATAGGATCTAATACCTGACAAGCATGGATCCAGATAATCTGTTTCATGCAGGACCCTCTAAATATTGAACACTCGCTGCTTTCAATACAACTTTCCCTAAAAATGGGATACTGATGATTAAACAAGTCTGTCTGTCTGTCTGTCTAATGGGAGATTTCAATTATCCTCATGTCTATTGAAAACTCAACTGTGCTAAGAGTTCAAAGTCCAAAGAATTCTCCTTTCTTGCTGACAGTCTCATTTCTCAGGCAGAGGAAAAAGGAAGATGGCTAACTGTTATCCTTTTTTTTTTTTTACTCTTTCCTGGCTTATGAAGAACATTTTGTTTCTAAGAGGAACATCCTGCAGTGATCTAAAAGTAGTTTTACAGGCTTAATCATAAGAGGAAATAATATTTCAAGGGCTCTCAACTATGCAACATCCTCAGTTTTTGCTAGGATCAGCTGTAGAGTTTTTCCACAGAGCTATTTATTTTCTTTGCCTTCCTTGTTCTTGTGTGTGTGTGTGTGTGTTCTATTGTTTGTTTAAAAATATTTTAATGATTTTAAGGTTCCCAGAATCATTGGGAGTTGGGTGGTATTTAAATAATAATATTTCTCAATGAAATACCACCTATATATAATTAGAATCCACTGTAGTTAGGTGGATAATAAATTCACAGAGAGAGAGAGAGAGAGAAGCCCTAGGGAAAGAGAATATGTAGGCTGCACATGCTGAAATTCTATACAGCTGTTATAAAGCAGAAAATCCTTATTTTTATACAGGGAAATGCTCTAATTAATAATACGTAACATAGATCGACATAGAGCAAACTATGAAGGGAGAGCAATAAATCCTGATTGTGATCGGTATTAAGTATATTCTAGTGGGGTTTTTATGTTCCTGGGAACGAAATCATTAGCTTATCATAACTGCTCCTGATCCAGCCAGAAATGTGACCTATTGTCTCAGAAATAAATCTTATAATTTAAATGGTGTCCAAGAAAATACGGATAGTACAACTTACACACTTTATATGGGGGGGAAAATTCCATTAAGGCATACGACTAAACATGCAGTTTGAAGTACATAAAGTCACGCATTGTGATTAATTTCCTAATACTGTCTAAATGTTCCCCGGTGCATTTAATTCTTTTCCCGTTAACTGGATTGGAGGTTCCCCTCTCCGTAACACTGATCTTTTAGAGGAAAAGGAGAGCGAGTGAAAGAGCCTAACGTACCCGCCAGTTCAGCCACACGTTTCACCCCACCCCCGTGCACAAACCGGACTGACGCAAATCAAGACAAAGGAGATCAGCTTCGGGTAAGTCACAACAGCTCACTCATTACACACCTTCTAATTCTTTAGTCCTTCGCTGGAGTTCCCAAGAAAGTAAAAAAAAAAAAACCCCTCGCTTCTGACTTTAAGGTTTCCGTTTCCGGGTTGAAATTTAACTGAGCATTCCTCAGTCTTTCTGATTTTCCAAGCCACGTGGGCTTGCGGAGCACCGTATTTCCCTTATTTTGCAACTTACTAGTAGCAGAAACCAATTTCGTTAAACTCCGGGTGTGCAATTTATTGAAGAACAAGGGATTGAAGACCTCCAAGGCCCTTACAGCCGTATGCTTCTGTGTTCTATGTTCTTAACTTTAAAAGCATACCTTTGCACAACAAAGGTATCACAAATTAACTATCTGTAATCACACTTGAGCCTAGCATGGCACACAAACCCATCCTGTGGCTTGGCAATTAAGAATGTTCCATAAACACAGCCAATTAAGTAAAGGGTTAACCATCAGCAAGATGTATGAACATAAATCACTGATTTTATAAAAAAAATGTTCCGTCAGTTTCTGTTTTAAAAAGTTTCTATTTAGGTGTTTTAACATGCAGCAATTGTGCACATATGTATGCTGCATATACAGACTCAGGTTCATGACTGGGAGTGACTTCATCAAGTACACATCATGGTAGAATTCAGCTATTCTCAACTGAGTTCTTACAATATGCTAAATAACAAACAAATGATTTTAAATGGATAAAGCTTGTTAAAGTTACCAATCATCAAATATAATTGATCCCTTTGGGATCATCAGATCTGGTAATTTACAACTATTATTTTAATACAGTATTGCAGCTGTGGCTGATGGTTAGATAACTACATAGAATGTGAGGTGTGGGATGGGAAAGAAAGATGATGATATTCATTTGTTGCTAAGCAGCCTGGTAGATTGCTTATTATTATGGCTATGAATCAGAGCCCAAAGAACTTCGTAATTAGTGGCTGAATTGATCTCTCCAGTCCTCTAACTGCTACACACCAAACTGGATAGCCATTATTATTTCTGTTCAAACCTTTATGATCTGTCTGGACAATGTTTTGATAATACCTCACACATCACTTTTATGTTAGAATTTTCCTACCTCAGCATTCTGGAGTGGAATGAGGACATGGGGGCAGCCACATCCAGATTACCATAGACTATTTTTCTGGAAGTGGACAAACTACCCCAAAAAGTTCAGATTAGGCATATGGTGTTGGGAGAAATGGAACATTCTGGGAATGGACCACAGTTTTATTTCATTTTTTTTTTCATTTTTCATTTTATTAAATTTATACCCCGCCCTTCTCCCGTAGGACTCAGGGCGGCTTACAGCCAGTTAAAAACAGTTCATACAATACAATAGAGGTTTTAAAAATCATTAAAAATAAATATATAATCGGCCGCTTCTACTAAAATTTGGCTAAAAACAATTTAAAATGCCCCTAGGCCAGTCCTGCCCGCTGGAACAACCAGGTCTTAAGGGCACGGCGGAAGGAGGGGAGATCCGGAATGACCCGGATCTCTGGGGGCAGCTCGTTCCAGAGGGTGGGTGCTCCGACAGAGAATGCATCCTAATCACAGGATGCATATTTCATAGACCTTTATTTTGGTTTTATTTACACAATGTAGTTAATACACAATGTGATTTATCATGTTATCATTGCATTTGGACTCATGTTGTGCAGTCAGTTGTGGTTTATTCAGTAAACTACGGGGTTAAGTAAATTATTGCTTAGAGTGATTGTATCTATGAATATGGCAATATTTCACATACTTCTTGGCATGTCTAGATGGACTTTGAAATGAATTCTGTTTATTGATTAATGTATCTTTTTCATTTTTGCTGTGATTGGCACTTTGCAATTTTTAAAATTTATATTAGTTAAACATTAAACACAAAAGATAAGGTAACATATTCTGTATTGTATTTTAAAAATAATTTATTTCCAGAGATAAATATTGCAACACAATTCATAAGAAGCTTCTTGCTGAATCAGAACAAAAGCATTTCAGCTTGCTTCCAACATTACTTTTTTCAACTCCTGTGCGTAGTTATTTGGAAATAAGAACCACTTAATGTCATATATCTTATATTTGTGTAAACACTTCAAGAATACACTATGAATCTTGTTCAGCCTCCTATCTTGTTTAATGTTAATCCATTTTTGTATGCTACTGCTGTTTTAGTAACAAGATTTTTCATCATATTTCCACCATTGACTGAATTTGTATGTATATGTTTATGGAAATACTGGCACATTCATAAAGGCAACTGGGATTTGGGTAGGTGTTATTTGTTTCTGAAATAATTTATTATTGTATTCTCAGTCTACCATCACAATTGCTCCATGCATTTGGCCCAAATCCGAAATGTAGAGAAGCAAATCCCAGTTTGCCTTTCACATGGTTATGCCTCAGTAGTGTTACAGTATATACCTGTTATGATCACAGCAAATGAGAGATGACCCAGGGGAAAGTAGAGTAGGAAAATAAGTTGAAGAACAAGTAAGGGGAAAAAATACTACAGGAAAAATAAGTACTTCAGAGTTTTTAATGCCTCACTGAACACTAAACTAATCCCACTGATACTAGAGTAAAATCTGGTTCAAGTATCATTCAATGCATAATTGTTGAATTGCATCATTTATAGAAAAATAAACCAGGCACCATATAAATACATGTTGAACAGCCCAATGCACACCTTCTGGAGACTGAGAAGTTCCATGAGGATGGGCTCCAGCGTGAGTCCAAAAGCTTGGAAGAATAAACCTCTGGTCCCAGTGACCGACTCAGAATGGATCCTATAGACTAGTATTTAGTGTGTATTCTGTATTCTGTCGCCCTGCCTATTTAACTTATATGCAGAGCACATCATGAGAAAGGCAGGGCTAGATGAATCAAAAGTTGGAATTAAGATTACCGGGAGAAATATCAACAACCTAAGATATGCAGATGATACCACTCTAATGGCAGAAAGTGAAGAGGAACTAAAGAACCTCTTGATGCAGATGAAGAAGGAGAGTGCAAAAGTTGGCTTGAAACTCAACATTAAGAAAACCAAGATCATGACATCTGGCCCTCTCAATTCCTGTCAAATAGATGGAGGGAAAATGGAGGTAGTGACAGGTTTTATCTTCCTGGGCTCCAAAATCACCACAGATGGAGACTGCAGCCAAGAAATTAAAAGACGCTTGCTCCTGGGGAGGAAAACTATGGCAAATTTAGACAGCATACTAAAAAGCAGAGACATCACCCTGCCAACAAAAGTACGTAGTCAAGGCCATGGTTTTCCCAATTGCAATGTATGGCTGTGAAAGCTGGACCGTAAGAAAGGCTGAGCGCAAAAGAAGTGAGGCCTTTGAACTATGGTGCTGGAGAAGATTCCTGTGAGTCCCTTGGACTGCAAGATGATCAAACTAGTCAGTCCTAGAGATCAACCCTGACTGCTTTTTAGAAGGTCAGATCCTGAAGTTGAAACTCAAGTACTTTGGCCACCTAATGAGAAGGAAGGACTCACTGGAGAAGAGCCTAATACTGGGAAAGATTGAGGGCAATAGAAGAAGGGACGACAGAGAATGAGGTGGCTGGATGGAGTCACTGAAGCAGTAGGTATGAGCTTAAATGGACTCCAGAAGATGGTAGAGGGCAGGAAGGCCTGGAGGAACGTCGTCCATGGGGTCGCAATGGGTCGGACACGACTTTGCAACTAACAACAACAACAAATTCAATTACTGTGATCAGTTTATAATTCATTAAATCATAAAAACATAGGAAATCAAATACTGTCAATTAATAATGGTTAAATTTATGTATTTATTTGATTTTTATCCCATTATTACTTTACAAATAACTCAAGGTGGTGAAGATACATAACACTCTTACCCCACAACAATAACCATGTGAGGTGGCTTGGGCTGAGAGAGAGTGACTGGCCCAAGATCACCCAGCTTTCATGCCTAAGGTGGGAATTTACCATAGCTAAACATATTATGCAATATGCTTCTGAACCTTTTTCTCATCATATGATGATCTGACTGAAAGTGTTTAATTCCAGTCCATTTCAACTCACCAATACCTAAGACCTGTATGTCCTTCACTGTGCTGAGCTTTCCCACGTCCACAGTTAACGTTCCCACCACAGAGGATAAAATAGAAACCTTTTAGACACCAGAAGTCAGATTGCTACATGTGAATCTGGCTACTATGGTTGTTAAACAACTTACAGTTTTGCATAGCATTTTAAATATTCAAGGTTAAATATAGTTGCCAGGTTGTGTGACTCCTGCTAGCACATCATGCAACCTAGGTTTGGTTATTTTAGTAAAATATGAGTCAAGTGAGATAAATTAGCACAATCCACTACTTTTATAGATAAAGATAGCATTACTGAGTTGACCAAACAAATTTCCTTGGGCCTTAATCTCAATTCTTTCAGATGTTTTACTATAAACCAGGGTAAGAATGCTGATGTGTAATGTCTATGAAGATTCTTAGTTGTCCAGATCATGGTTGTCCCAAAGGTGCTTTCTTTCAAAAGGCAACTGGACTTCCTTATTTTGCTGTAAGACATTTGGCTTCTCATCCAAGAAGCTTCTTCGGTTCTGACTGAATGGTGGAGAATGGAAGGATTCAGGTGACCCTGAGCGCACAAATAAACCTCCAAGTGACCTCAATTATTTTCAGAAAGAGGGCTAACAATCACACGACTGCAAAGAATATAAACACTAACTTGTGGAAAAAAAACACCTTTGGGCTGATGTGTAATGCAAATGTTCCTTTGTTTAGAAAAGGCCAATTCCTCATGACTTTGCATTTTTGTATATAGATTACACAACAAGGTTTCAGTAATATACGTGGAAGGATATCTAATTACTTAGCAACATTATAATTAACAATATTAGCAATATCTGATAACGGGCTCCAAAAGAACCATCTCGGAGGGAGTTTTTTTTTCCCCCAAACAGGAAAAAGCACAATACGCCGCCAGACTGCCTCGAATTCTATTCATTCATTTATCCTTCCATCACTCCGAATTGTAATCTGAATGCTCTCTAGAGTCTCTAGACAACCATTTCCCACACCGAGCGCTAAGGAGCAGCAAATCTGCAAAGTCACCCTGGCGCTGCATCTCGAAGCAACGGGCAGGAAGAGAGCGGGAAAAGGAGCCAACCGATAGGAGTATCGGCCTTGCGTCACGTCTATCGCGAGATTTCGGAGGGTATAAAATCATGTAAACCGCGGTTCTTCCTTTCTAGCTTGTACTGGTCGCGTTTTGTTGAGAGTCTCGTCTTGATTCGCTTTAGGTAACCGCAGCTGGGTGAGAGCCGGGGTGGCGGGAGGTTCGTTTGTAGCCGGGGCTGGATTTGTGGAACAGCTTCTCCCAAGCAAAGGGGGGGGGGGGGAGAAACGTAGTTTTCGGTGATATTTTATTGCATATTGGAGGAGCAGGGTGAGACTTTTTTATAATGAAATCAATGGGTTTAACTTCAATTGTTGAGAAGATTGGAAGATTTTTCTGGCTTTCTCGCAGCAGGTGCCTCCTGGCTTAACATGGGTGGAGGCGGAAGAGAAAAAAAAATAAATTGCGCGGCGTCTTAGGTTATTAAATTAAGTTGCACCACTAAAGGTTTTTGCACTTCTTGTAACGATGTTGCGGTTGAATCGGCTGGAGGTTACAATGAGCTATTTAAACAGGGAGACCGTTAAGACGAGTCTCCTTTGCAGAGACGCTCGGTGCTCTGGCTGGAAGCGGAGCACTCGGGCTTCTTAGAGTTTCTTGGGATTACTAGACATTGTGATCGATATGTGCTCCAGTTGAGACCCAGCGTGGTTTGTTTTAGTTCTAATCTAGCTTGTTTCACTTGCTGGGTATGTAACATTTAACAGGAGGTTAGCGCGATGTTCGAATTCGTTCGTGCTTTGCAGTTCATGGTAAAACGTGATAAAGGCTGCATTCTTTACAAACTGATTAGAGAGAAAATGTCATTGAGCTCCTTGGAATTTGAGAGATAAATTTGCAACAGCCGCCGGGTGGTGAAAGCAAACTCATAAACTAACTTCCTCTTCAAGGCTTTCAATTTTGGGTAATTGCGTAATGGAAAACGAAATCTATTCCCCCCAGAGTAAACCCATCTGAACTTGGATTGTTGAAAGATTGCCTTTAAGATTTTTTAAAAAACTTGCTGGCTTTAATATTCAGAATTGTTTCAGAATGTAATGGCTAGCTTGTACAAATGTATACAGTGAACTTTTTTTAAAAAAGCTGGCTATGCATTGGATTATGTCAAATTGTACACTTAATTTCCCAGGGTTTGGAATATTGGGAGTACTTGCATATATTACATACATTTTCTTTCCTGGCTGATATGGCCAGCACCTAGAATTATGGGGGTTCATTTTGGGTAAAGCTAATTTGCATTTAGTTGTGTTTTTTATATTTGGTACAGATTATGACTTGAATATATACATTTAATTGGTATTGTTAGGAGAATCTACAAATATTATTTGTCTACAATGTTTAGCTTTTGCTGGTTCTCAAAATCTGTGGTAAATAATATATGCCAGAAGTTTGTGCTTGATAAAATTGGGGATTGGAAAATCTATGGCTGCATAAATTTAGCAGAAGGTTGTACTGTATAAAGAACTTTAGGCCCACTATATGATTTAAAATTCAATTTTAGGAATTGAGCCAGCTAGAATATTTGCTGGTTTCCTAGGTCATAGTCTCATCCTAGCTGATGGTTGATAAATGTAGAAAAAAAATGCTGTCCTGTATTAAGAAAATCTGTATTAACAAAAGTATGTTGATCTGTAGTTTGGGTAATTGTTATAGGTCAGTAGTGGCGAACCTATGGCACGGGTGCCAGAGGTGGCGCTCAGAGCCCTCTCTGTGGGCACGCGTGCCGTCGCCCCAGTCCTAGGCCTTCAGCTGGGTTTTATAAAACCTTTTCACCGCCGTGTGCAAAAAAAAAAAAAAAAGGTTCAATCAGTCAATTTCAACTTCTCGTGGGAAAAAAAAAGATCTTGCAAAATTGGAATTGATTGATTGAACTTTTTAGTCCCACCCAGTCTGCCGTTACCACCGCAGCCACGCCCAGCCAATGGGCCGCACCCAGCCAATGGGCCACACCCACCCGGCACTCGACGATGCATAAGTGGGTTTTGGATTGCAGTTTGGGCACTCAGTCTCTAAAAGGTTCGCCATCACTGTTATAGGTGAATTCTAACATGAATGATTGTTTAAAGGCTTAAGATCATTTTTCTTTTTAGGCCATTAAATTTCAGTTTCTAAAATTTATGAAGTTCTGAATAGTTTGGCCAGCTGCACTATCAATCCTCTTTCAGGTGATGGCAAAATATTTCCTAATCATTTCTCTCTCTTAAGCTTCAATCAGAATGTCTTCAGGAAATGCTTTCATTGGGAAACCAGCCCCAGATTTCAAGGCCACAGCAGTAATGCCAGATGGGCAATTCAAAGATATTACACTTTCTGACTATAGAGGTAAGTCCAATAAAGCTTGTTGGATTGGAGGAGGTGGTGTTATGCAGATAAAAAGGAAAGGATCCTGGTCCCAAACCCAGGGTCTTTGCTTCTGAAATATTCTGTTTAAGATTACAAAAACAGTTTGAGCATCTCACAAGTGATTTATACCAAAATGCATTATGCATACGAATGGAACAACATTTAACTTATAAATGTTGTTCAGAAGATGGGAATAATTACATCTTCTGAACAGGATATATTATAAAATAGGATGGTATCTTGGAAATGGGTGAGGTGTCCACTTCAAGCCTAAATTAGCCAGCTGAATATATACAGTAGTACACAGTGTGCATATAAGTAACATGGAGGAAGTGGTGTGCTTCTCTCACCAGTCAAATCATGAGATAATTATAGCAATCAGTTGGTTCGTTTGTTTTACACACACACACACACTTTGTTATTAGCCTGATAAACGAAATGTTTGGAAACCAACCCACAAGCTTTACCTATAGGTATATATGTATATATTATTATTAATAATAATAATAATAATAATAATAATAATAATAATAATAATAATATTTTAGTCCAACCCCCTGCTCAGGCAGGAAATCCTATACCATTTCAGACAAATGGCTGTCCAGTCTCTTCTTAAAAACTTCCATATGCTCTCCAGATGAGTTGGCTCTCACAACTCTTAGCTAATAGGTTAGATGATTAAATATGGTTTACTTTATATCCTCTCTAGTGTAGTTGGTCTCAAAGCTGGATTTTAGGAGAGCATCTCTCAGAGTCAATTTCCTACTGCCTTTGGCAGAAAAAACACAATCCCAAAAGTAAAACAACCAGTTCTCCCTTTACTTGATGTTGTGGCAGCCCAGTGTTAAAATGCTATGTTGGTTATGACTCGGCCAAATGTTATTTGGCAATGGAGAAACAAGAACCTGATGTTTACAGGAATCTGACAGTTGAGGCTCGTTGAATAAATCCAGAGTAAGTTATTTGGCAACATTGTGGCCCTCAGCACATTATTGTAGAAATATGACTTTTGATTGTGTGTTTGGGGGGAGCACTATATTGATAGCACCTGCTTTAATTTGCCTTGGCCTTAAGTAGTTACTACAGCTGGTGGCCAACAGCTGAATTATGCTGGCAACTGATACTGTATTTCCCCAAATATAAGCCTGGATCTTATATTCATTTTGCTCCAAAAGACCCATTAGGGCTTATTTTCAGGTGATGTCTTATTTTTTTGCCCTTCAAGCAGCAGGCGGACAAAGAGGCCCACTGGACGTGCCACACATCCGCCTTCCCCCCCCCCCATGCCTCTGCCCCTGGCTAGTGCCACCAAGGCGAGGCAGGTGGTGGGGCGGAGGTGACGCCATGCCGCAGCCCCTGCACACTTGGCCTGCTAAATCTCACTTCGCTAAATTGATCACCCTGGCTAAAATTCACCCAACAAACTAGCCACCAATCCCCTTGCTTGCGGCAAAGCCAGATTGGAGGTCTCAGGTCGTTCCTTCCAGCCCATTTCAGAGCCAGTCCAAAAGCAAAGGGAATGGTTCTCACTCCACCCAGGCACTGTGGGGCTTCGTTTCCAAAGATGCTCTGCATAGGCTCCGAACAAACTAAGATCAGGGACTGAAAAAGCAGCAACTGGAGTGAAGGGCTATTCAAAGGAGAAGGAAGAAGGAGAACGTGGGAGAAGCCATTCCCGAACAGGCGAGGCAGGTGGTGGGGCGGGACTGGTGCCATGCCACAGCCCCTGCATGCTTGGCTCCCACCATCCAACCTCTTCCTCCTGCGAGCCCGGTGCCGCACCTGTGACAGCTCCAGCGAATGGGAAGGGCAGGGAGCCCTCCCCCATCCCCAAGAGGCAGCTGGGACTCCCCGCCCCGCCGAGCCCAGCCCCAGAGCTGCCCCACACAACCCAAGAGGGTCGGCGAAGCTCCTCCGGTAGATCAGGTCCTGGCGCCCACCCTGGTCCTGCCCCTCCTCCACCAGAGATCCCTGGATCCTCCCTAGCCCCACCTGGGCCCTCACAGTTGCCCCCCAATGTGAGTGACGAGCTGGCCATGCCCCTTGTTCCCTCCCTGGCAACCACAATTCTGGGGCTTATTTTGGGGGTAGAGCTTATATTACGAACATTCTGAAAAGTCATGCTAGGGCTTATTTTCTGGCTGGGTTTTATTTTCAGGGAAACACGGTAGGTATGTAGCATAATTGGTTAGTGAAGGAATAATACACTACCATTGTGCTAATATATCTGGTGTTTGATATTTTTGTGTTGAAACTTGCATGCTTTTAAAGATAGGTGCCTACTGTTTTATAGAGTTGTATATGAAGCACCCACAAATATGGCTGCTTAAGAAGAACTTTTGATAATTATATATCATTCTCAGTTGTATCAGTAAATCTGCAGAGATGCCATAAAATTGCTCTAATATTTGAATTCTGGAATATGGGATTTAGCACTAGGAATGTGCAAAGCATCCCATGCATGATTTTGGATGATCCATGGCTGACTTAAAATGCATGTGTTTGAAAGTTTTGGTTCATATTCTGAATGAAATGAGACTGTTTTGTTCTGGTTAATACATTCACATAGGGCAGAAATTGTTCAAGGGTAGTGAAAGTATAGGGGCAGAACAAAGAAGTTGAGTGACCACTGACTTTCATTTCAGTCACCACATGACAAATCCAAAATGGTTCTATCAGAACCTGTAGAATGCAATGGTTTGTTTTGGTTTCAGAACGCTTTCCATTTTGTGCACATCCATAATAATTATATCTTGCTGTAACCATATCAATTTGCGTATGAAAGAAATTCTTCCATGCTATTGACTTATCTTTTCAACTTTTTCCTAGGGAAATACATTGTACTCTTCTTCTATCCACTTGATTTCACCTTTGTCTGCCCAACTGAAATTATTTCATTCAGTGACCGTTCTGATGAATTTAAGAAAATAAATTGTGAGGTGATTGGTGCTTCCGTTGATTCTCATTTTTGCCATCTAGCCTGGTAAGAATCCTTGGGTTTGGGGCTTTCATACTGTCAAAGAACTTTTTCCTAGAAAATAGAAACCTTGTGTGTTTCTGTTCAAACCAAAACCTTTGAGGTTAGTGTGGTTTACCCTTGATGAACAGGTACAGGTTGAAAGATGGGTTCAAATGAAATGGAACAACTGCCCTGAAGTGATTTCATCAGCAAGCTTTATCTTTATATTTCTGATGACACTTTATGTACTAACCAATTCATTTGTAGTAGAGATGAAACCTAATTCCTCAACAACTTGAAAAATTGATAGCTGAAAAAGAAGTGAATCTCTAGATAACTGTCACAAACTTGCTTATGCGGAGCTTTAAAGATTTTTAGAGCCTGTTAAAGCTTAGAGACTAAATCAGCGGCTCCCAACCTTTTCTATACCCCACATCCCTAGAACGCTTCTGATATATTCTCGTACCGCTTACTTACAAAAGTTCAAAATAACGCCAACAAATTATGCATATACACTAAAATTTTGAAAACCCAAGTTTTCGCACCCCCTGGAGTGTGTGTCACCCCCGGTTGGGAACGCCTTGACTAAATGGAGCCATTTTTTTCTTCCATCTCACAGTAGCTCTTTTAATGCTAAGGAACTCTGAGTTTTTGTGGCAATTTATATTGCACAAGGACAGTTGGATTGCACCACCAAAACATTTTCCACTCTGTTCCTATAATGGGAACTGAGATTTGGTAATCTGGGAAAAACTCAATCTGAGGAGGATAGTTTTAGATCTCTGCCTCATTGCAATTGTTAAAGTTGCTAAAATACTTTATTTTTGCACATTTGTGCTTCAGTTGTGCTTGGTCATTTTAAAAGTATTTATTTGAAAAATCGTATACCAATTTTTTGAATTCTTTCTGGACTTTTCTTAAAGGATCAACACTCCAAAAAAACAGGGTGGACTAGGCAGTATGCGCATTCCTCTGGTTTCTGACACAAAACGTCTAATTGCTAAGGATTATGGTATACTAAAGGAAGATGAAGGCATTTCTTACAGGTAATGTAACAGTCTCCATTTGATTGGTATTCTTCAAGCAGATAACCTATTTCACCTTCAGATAATTTTTCTAAATTAAATTCACTCCCATTGAATTGTTAGTGTGTTAACAAGATCTTGTTGATCAATAGTTTGTGGTTTGAGCTATTAATGCTTATGTTTAAATGCAGTCATTATTTAGCATCTTTTCAAGCCTACATTTACTTAGTTGCAAAACCAATACATGTGAATCTGAGCATACATTATCAAGTTCAGATAGATCCTATTTAAAAAAAACCTTGCTTCCCTTTATAGGAAGAATTGGTTATGTAAGGAATGTACGGAATGTCTGTAAATAAGGAATATAAACTAATTCCTTATAATATGTGGAAACTTTGTTCAGAGTTTTACTTTTTCAGTAAGGAAAAAAAAATCAAAACTGGAAGACTTGAGTTGAAGTCTTTCCTTAGGCATGAAAGCTAGCCAGGTGACTTGAGGCTAGTCATTCTCTCAGGGTTATGTGAAAAATGGGAGGCAAGAGCATTAAATATGTACACCATCTTGAACTGATAAATAAAGGCAGGGCAAACATCTAATAAAACATGTTCTAATGTTTTTCATGGCTGGTTGAGTTATAGTGACGTTAGTGGGTTCAATATTGCCTTTGTTTGAAATTCTTTATACAACATGTGGAACTGGAATTTACTACTTTCAAACTCAGGAGGTTGGTCACCAATTTTGATTACTTTAAAAGGGAATTAAATAAATTCTCAGAGGATAAAGCTATGAATACCTCATCCTCTTTCAACCTAGTGAGTATATTTAAAAAAGCTACTGACAAGTGGTAATAGGGGAAAAAAAGTGACATTCTGATAACTTTAAAGTAACGTGTAAAGTATGTAAACTTGTCAAATGCTTGATAAATCTTAGATGTAAAGTTGATACTTTTTGTCTTCTATTCAGTGGTTGTCTTTGCCAGTTTGGGGGAACAAAGTGGAACGTCTATAATGCCTTCAGGGGTGCTTTCCGATGGCCAGGCAGGGGGTGGGCTGGATGGGAAGTATCAGCATTGGTTCAAACCTGCTAAGACTGAGTGGCTGTGAGTTTTAGGGTCCCCCATGTCCAGCTAATCACCATATCTAGTGATTTTCCATCTTTGGGGAGCCTTGCACATCTATATCTTATGTATCAGTTGTACCCTTTCTTTGATTGAGAGTACTGCTCAAAGTCACTCATGCCTTAGTCACCTCCCAAGTGACTATTCCAGTGTGCTGTAAATTGGACTGACCATGAAAAGCATTTGAAAGCATCTAGTTCAGAATTCAATAGCACTGAGTAAGTGTAGTGAGTGGTAATAGTGTTGTTGTGTAACCTGCACTACTCTCAGCAGACTTTCAGGTGCAATTCCGGGTGGTGGTTGTCACTCTTAAAAACCTACATGGCCTAGGGCCAGGTTACGTGCAGAACTGCCTATCCCTGTTATTTTCTGCCTGTGCTGCTAGATCTGGCAGGGTGGGCATGGAGGAGTCCCCCTAGTGAAAGAATGTTATCTAGTGGGATCTCAGAAATATGCTTGCTCTGTCATTGTGCCTGCCTTATATGGAGTAGCCTCACCCTATTCCATCCCTGGAGAGATAGATGGTGCTGATTCTTTTGGCTTTTAGGAAAGCTGTGAAGACTTGGCTTTTCTCCCAGGCACACTGGGGCCAGGATGTAAATAGTGCTGGCACAGGGTGGTTGATGGATGAATGTAAGCTTTATCGAGGCCTCAATGTTTGTTATTTTAAATAGTGTTTGTACTGTGTTTTTAATTGTTCACCGCCTTCTGGTGGGTGGACAGCTATACAAGTTTTGTTTGATAAATAATACTAGGCAAGTTTCATTTTCTCATCTATTATGTTTCTTATACTATACAAGCTAAAGAAGTCTGCAAGAAGCTAATGTTTCACACAGCATGTGCAGGAATAAGTGCCTTATATTTAATATTTGCTTTGACCTATATTCTTAAAAATTAATTTAGAGAAAATTGAATTGCTGTTTGCATAATCTCTAACTTTTTTATTGCTCTTTTCTATTTTAGGGGCCTCTTTATTATTGATGATAAGGGGATCTTGCGCCAGATCACAATCAATGATCTGCCCGTTGGTCGTTCAGTTGATGAGACACTCCGACTAGTTCAGGCATTTCAGTTTACAGACAAACATGGAGAAGGTGAGATAGTTTTACTTTTTAAAAATTTATTGGCTTCGTAACCCCAGTGGGCTCTAGCAGCATAGAAAATTAGGGAAATTTTATACAAAACTTTGTATATTTGCCAGCTTATATTGGTAAAGCAGGAAATGGAAGGTATTGGTTAGCCAGAACATGCACTCAGAGCCAGTTTGGTCTAGTGATTAGGATCAGGCTAGAAATTGAGGCACTGTGAGTTCTAGTCCTGCCTTAGGCATGAAGCCAGCTGGGTGACTTTGGGATAGCCATTTTCTCTAAGCTGTAGGAGAAAAGCAATGGGAAACTATTTCTGAAAAATTTTGCAAGGAAAACTCTGGTGACTTGTCCAGGCATTGTTCTTGAGAACTGGACATGATTGAAAAGAAGAAGAAAAAAGTACTATTAACATTTTGTCTACATAGCAAAAAATACAGTATTTTTAGAATTATGTAAATTATATACATATGAATACTTGAGAAATTTTAGCACTTTTTCCATACATTAAAAATAGATTTCAGCTGCCACTTGGATTGTATTTTTATGATTAAGATGAAAGCTGATACTGGTGGGTGCATAAAAATGAGCCTTGTTCACAAAAGATTTACTCATTTGTGGTACAGGTTTTAGGCTGACTTGCACAGACAGCAGTTGGTAAAGTGACAGTTTCTTTCAATGAAAAACAAAATCTTTAAAGGTTGAGGATAAGTTTATTCACCATTGTAAAAATATGTTGGAGTTACATTCTCTAAAATCAGTGCAAACAGAGTTTAGTGGCACAGAGTGCCACATGTGATTTACATAATAAATGAAATAAATTTATTATCAGAATTATCAGCTTAGTGTCTGTTTTCCATGTCTCTTGGAGAAAGCTCAAGTATTTTATTCTGAATATTTTTAAGCAACAGTGTTTAGGGCTTATTAGAATTTGATCTTTCCCATCTCGAAATATCAGAAGCCCATGTTGCTGATTTTCAGCAGATGTGATGAGATCTGGTATTGCACATGTTCCCAGTTTATGACAAAGTGTAATGTATGATGAACTCAGGTGGTTGTGGCTTATTCAGTAACATAATTCTAAATTCTATCATACTAAATAATGTTATGATACTAATGATATACAGTCTTGTATTGCTAAAAATGTTTTCTAATTGAGAATATGAAAGTTGCAGTTTATGGCCATAATAACTCTTTTGGCCCAAATAACCCTATACAACAGGGTTTTTCCAACTAATACAATTCTAGTCCTGTACAATTCTTGTTTTCTGCTAGGTTGGGGGTATTGATCTAGTTATGAACATGCAACTCTGTTTTTTTATATATATATATGACCCAATAACGAACTTCAAATATATTTTTAGTGTGCCCAGCTGGCTGGCAGCCTGGAAGTGACACTATCAAGCCAGATGTCAAGCAGAGTAAAGAGTATTTCTCCAAACAGAAATAAATGTTGTATGTTGTGTTTTGTACAAAAAAAGTGTACTGTAACATATGGCAGAGCAATCTTTGCCATTTCTTATTTAAAGAGTAGCCGTGTTGTGAACAGTCTTTTATTTTGGATCGTGTGGATCTGAATAAGTGGATTACAGATTGACATATTTTGACTAATTATTTAGCCTATTCACCTCAGCCAAAGTATAGAATTTGCTCCTTGTACTCATGCACATAGCTGACAATTGTTAGCATAGTAATGACTCCTTCCGGTACATGTGGAACAAATGGCTTTTCTTGTATTTTGTACTGTTATTAAACTTCTATGAAAAACTTGAAAAATGTATCAATTATTCTCAAAATAGAAACACGTGAACAATCCTAATAATAACATAGTAGCCCTTGTAACTTTGAACTTGCAGTGGCATTGAAAATAGTTGCAACCAGTCCTTAAAGTTGAGACAGTTGCATCTATCCAAAGTCAGATGATCATGAGTCAAGTGCTTGCCCATTTACAATGATTGTAGCATCCTGCAATCACGACTGCCTTTTGTGCCCTTCACAGCTTGTGTCTGACAAGCAAAGTCAATGGGAAAGCCTGCAGGAAATTGTAAGAGTATCTCACTTGATAACTACAGCTGAAATTTGATACAGGTAGGCATGATCATGTGATGTCACATTTATTGTGCTGCTTAGCAACAAAGTTGCCAGTCCCTCTGTTGCTACTGGTGAGGATTGCTTGTATGAGTGATACACTGTTTTAAGATGCACTGTTCTTGCCAATGGACGGGAACAATGCTTTAGTAATCAATATGTGAATATCAGAGTACTGCCTAGACCTGTCCTTTTGTTTCTCATTCAGTCATCTACCAACTATTGTCACCTTCAAGCTAATATCATTTCAAAGATTAATTTATGTGCACCATTTGATTAAATTTCCATGATTTTCTCAAAGTGTTTTCTGTATACATGAAATACACTGAACTAATTGTAGGTTTGATTACATTGTGTACAACTGTGTCTCATTTGTGTCCAGTGTGCTGCAAGTATGAATTGGGCCTTAAGACCTCTTTTAATCAGTGTTATATTAACTATTCTATCATTAGCATTTTCCTCCAACCATATAATCTAGTCAATAACAATAGCACTTAGATTTATTTACCTCTTCATAGTGCCTTACTGCGCTCTCTAAGGCGTTTACAGATCATATTCCCTCCCTCCCCCAACAATTTGGGTCCTTATTTTACCAACCTCGGAAGAATGGAAGGCTGAGTCAACCCTGAGCCAGTGAGAATCGAACTGCCAGCAGTTGGCAGAATTAGCCTGCAATACTGCCCTCTAAGCACTGTGCCACCACGGCTCCTATCCACGGAATAGGCATCAATTGTATTTTGGATTTTTTTAAAAAAAAATATCACAATATGTTACTACCATAATCTTAATATCTTGTCAAGCCCCTGAATACAAAAAAGATGCTCAGGTGTTAATATCAACACTGGATTATCCTGTCTTCAAAAGAGCTTTGAATAAGCATGTGCAATAATACCAGAATTTTTTTAAGAACCTGCAAATGGTTTCAAAAAATATAATAAAGGCTATCTTGTACTTCAAAATAAAGATGATAAAGGCTAATTTTGTCTACTATAGCAGATTTTGATGTAATACAATTAGAGCAAAATGAACAAGCTTGGATTTATTTTGGGTGTCAAAGCAGTTACTTTTTATTTGAGGTTATAACTGACCATGTGAAGTGCAGCAGATTGCAATTTCACTTTAAGGCAATCAACATTTCCCTGCTCTACAGCCAAAATAAATGCAGCACTGGCATGTACAGTATTTGCATTTTTAGTGTGATATAATTTCAGACCATAAAAATTAAATTTCATTTCCATTATTGGAGCTTACCTGAGAACATTTATAGGGAAGAACGGAAATGAGCTATACGTGAAGGGAGAATTCAGCATTGTTTTCTCTTGCTTTTTAAAGTTTTCCCTATTTTCATTAATACATAGTTGAGTAATTAAATTTAAGTAAGCAAGTCTGTTACCATCCCATTTGTTCAACTCCAGGGCAGTGAAAAAAAAATCAAGAAAATAAACTGGAAGAAAAATCTGTGTGCCACTGATTCACCACACTAAGCCATAATATGGTTTGTATGGTTCTAACACTGAATAAACTCAGCTATTTGTGACTCAGCTACTGTAATAAACTATGCCTTTTGGCAATGTGGGAACCCAGCTACACATGCCTGATTAAAAAATCAGTATTAATACAAAGTGATTTAGTGTAATGTTTGAAGCCAGTTATTCATATCAGAGGAACTTTTTTAAAAAATGTACAGTTCGCTTCATTGGATGCTTGATACATGACTTAATGATTGTCTAGACCAGGGGTCTTCGAACTTGGCCCTTTTATGACTTGTGGACTTCAACTCCCAGAATTCCTCAGCAAGGCACACTTCTTTCCAAATGCAGTGGACTACAAAATTCCACAGAAAGTCTGACTACCTTAAGCAAAACAAAAGCAGCAGCTACCTCCCTTGAACCACTCTTTATAACTTTGTGTCTCAGTAGGATCAAAGTATTCTTACTGCTCACCTGGCCTGGTTGGCTGTCACTAAGGGTCCCTTGTCACAAAGGATGCTACTTGTTAATCTGAGTGGAGGGGAGGAAGGCAGCATTGGAACAATTCTATGCTTTATCTCAGGCAGCAAAGGAAAGCCCGGGAAAAAGAAACCGAAAGTAAATCACATCTTCCAAGTTAATTGGAAGATGTGAACCATGACCCCAAAATAGGGGAGGGAAAAATGCCTGGAATGTATGTGCAACGGAAAAGAATCTCAGATCTAAGCATTTCCACCATGCCATACTGACATCTCTGTAACCTTAATAAATGCTTTTAGGATAAAAATATGCCTGAAAGTCCTTTTAAGTGTTTCATTAATCAGACACATGACACATGCATCAGTTAAGCTATTCCCTGCAGCCCCAAGGCAAGAGGGTTCCTTAGTGCTGAAGTAATAATAATAATAATAATAATAATAAATAATAATAATAATAAATAATAATAATAATAATAATAATAATAATAATAATAATAATAATAAAAGTTGGAAGGGACCTTGGAGGTTATCTAGTCCAACCCCCTGCTCAGGCAGGAAACCCTATACCATTTCAGACAAATGGCTGTCCAGTTTCTTCTTAAAAACTTCCAGTGTTGGTGCATTCACCGCTTCTGGAGGCAGGTTGTTCCACTGGTTAATTGTTCTCACTGTCAGGAAGTTTCTCCTTAGTTTTAGGTTGCTTCTCTCCTTGATTAGTTTCCATTCATTGCTTCTTGTCTTGCCTTCAGGCGCCTTGGAAAATAGCTTGACTCCCTCTTCTTTGTGGCAGCCCCTGAGATATTGGAACACTGCTATCATGTCCCCCCTCGTCCTTCTCTTCATTAAACTAGACATACCCAATTCCAGCAGCCTTTCCTTATATGCTTTAGCCTCCAGTCCCCTAATCATCTTTGTTGCTCTTCTCTGTACTCTTTCTAAAGTGTTAGAGATTAGGAAAACAGAGATTAGGAAAACAGTTCCTCCAAGGTAGAAGCCAATCCTGTCTTCTATCTCAATTGTTAGAGATATGGGTCCTCAGGGTAAGATATTCTGCTGATAAAAATAGAAATTCCTCTAGGACAGACTTAACATCACATATTTGTTCTGCAGAGAGGTGACTGACTACTACTCTCAGGTTAATTTCTTTCCTAAGTTGTGAATATAAGCACATCATGTTAGTACATAAACCATGGTTTATAACCCCTGTGACTAAGACAAAATCACATATACTAATTTCCTGCTACAAGACTCTGCATGCTGCTGAAGCAGGCAAGATTCTAAGGCCACAAACACTTCTTGGCTGCTTGTTGATCTTGGACCTGGAAAGTATGTTGAGTTAAACCACACTTTGAAGAGTTCCAAGTTGAATTAATGAAGCTAGGGGATTAAATACTGTTCAGAGTTTTCTTCTGTTGGAATAGTTTATAAACCTTGTAAAGAAATAAAGGGTTTAAATGATTTTTTAACACAAATGCTATGTGTGTTTAACTTGTAAAAGAAAAGACTACGGGAATATAAGATAGTGATCTACAAATATTTAAAAAGATGTCATATGCAGAGGAAGGGGAATTTGTCTTGTTGAAATAGAGCAGAACAAAGTCTTAGCATTTGGTCTGCTTAATTGCAGATTCTGCTTATTTTTACTATGCTTGTCTAGTTCCCATAGTGAATTATTAGTGCATACAAATGCAATGAGAGGGCTGTTCTTCAGCTGGGTTTTCACAGAGCCTGATGCTATTTTTGGTGAGAGGGTGATTGACCCAAGGCCTAAGAGAGGTCTAGAACCTGTATCCTGATTCCTAGTCCGGCACCTTAATTACTACACCACACAGACTCCTTACAATAGACTAAGATCTAAGAGCTTAAAATTAAAAAGGAGACTCAAGCTGGATAGTAGGAAGAATTTCTTCATGGTAAGAATTTTTAAGAAATAGAACAGTTAGCCTAGAACAGTATTAGATTCCTCCTTGCTGGCAATATTCAAATGGGGAGAGAACATCCATTATTATTTGTTAACCACTATATTACGACTTGAGAGCCATTTAATTGTCATGATTAAGGCATCAGGCTAGAAATGGGAGACCATGAGTTCTAGTCTCACCTTGGTAATGAAGTCAACTGGACTGTTTCTAATACTGCTACACAACCAAACTAGTAAACAGCAGAATAAGTTTCCAGCACATAGAGAAAAATCCAGACATTGTCATGTTTAGACAATTTGTGATCACTAGGATAGCACTTAAGCATGTTTAAATGAAATACAATAGATACAAACAGAACTACTTTGGAATTCCTATCTGGATCTATCTGCCATACACCCAAGTCAGGTCCTTTAAGCTTAGCATTATGTACACGAGCAATTTTTTTTTTGTTTTCAGCAGGAACTTGTTGCCAGCTTTGTCTGGTAATGCTCAGACCTTCCACATGGAAATCACTGCTAGCCCCAAGCAGACAGCATCCTTCTGTAGCTATAGCACATTTTAACTATGAGCTGAAACGTCAAGGCTTCCTACCTTCAAGTACAATGGTACCAGGACTTCCCCCTCCCCAAGTTTGCTATTTATAAATTGAGCCAGATGAAATGCTGATTTAAAATTAAATTTGTTATACCCCAATTGCTCTCTTAATGACATTCTTGGCTTTTAGCCAATATCTAAGCCTGCATAGCCATCCCCTTGTTATAAACTCTGCCTCTGAATGTGCAGCAGTGTTAGGAGCCCTACTTGAAATAGTTTTCTTA